ATAATTGTTGATCCAAAAATGCACAATGGAAAGATTGCCCTATAAACATCTTAGAGAACATAAGGCACACATTTATACACAGAATAAGGAGAACTAAATCAGAGACTTAACTAACTAAGATGACAGGCATTATGCAACCTTCTTCTCACCTAATTATCACAAATGTCGATGCAAAAGCATTCCAAACCAGCCTCAAGTCAATTGGATCCTTAATTGATGTCCATCACTTGAAAGTTTCTATAAAACCTTATAGAAAACTCCTTGATTCATCTTTTTCTACCAGCGATGCGTGCACTTTTCTTAGATTCATGGGGCATGCTTGTGGCGCAACATGCGGAGAGCCGCCCTTCCATCAATAGCATCGCTTTGGAGTTCCAGAGCACAAGCATGGCATAAAGGAGGAGGAATCCCCAGGATAACAATATAGAATCCATTTGTCACCAACCCTATGTCTTCATTCCACTCTTAACTCGTTAAAATGAAGGAGTGAAGTTTTCGCTGTGTGGGGAAATCTTCCAGAGAGCAAAGATGTAGAATGAGATTGATCTTCGCACGTGGTTCGAAAGAATAAAAACAAAGGAGGGCAGTCAAATGCAATTACAAGCAAGTCACCGAATCCTTTTTCAGGAACCAAGAACAACGACTTATTAAAAACTTTGAAAATTCATTGGAAAAGACTAATAAAAGTTAAGCAGATCAGTCGAACGAAAAGAAGAACGTCTCGGAATATATAGAGGTCCGAAGATTCACTGAATCAAAGAGGAAAAAAAAGGATATTGCGTTGAACAATGCAAGTGGAACTTCCCTGCTAGGGTTTTCTTGTTTGGATTTGCCTCTGAAGGCGGGACTTCTTATTTCTCTTGATGCCCCTAAAATTTGAAGGATAATATGGGGATTCAATGCTAGCTACTTTTGTTAATTACAAAATAGAGACTGAAAATGGGAAAAATCAGGGGAAAATAGGGGAACTTACCTTTACCTCTGGAAGGAACTCATTTGTGAGTGATTAGGGGATATGTTAAAAAAGAAGAAAAAGTTGGTGAACTTATCCTGCCTCTGGAGAGTACTAATTTTTAGGGTTCTTCTAGCTCAGAGTAGGAGTGCAAGAAATAAAAAAAATGATAGATAAAAATTATATCTTAAATATTTATATTTTATTCTTATGAATTTATGATAATGATCATATTATTCATATATGTTTTAAAAATATATAAATAATCTTACAGACTTCATGAAATAACATTTTCCTTAAAAATATTATTCCCATTAGAATATATTTTAGGGAACTTTTATTAGGTCCGGTGAACGTACACTCCTCTTTGTTCGGCCACCAATATTTTAGCGACACGTAGCATGAAGAAAAGTCGCCGACCCAACCCGCAGTTTTTTGGGTTCTAGCGCGTGCGTTTTTCTAAATCCTTGACGAGCCGAACAACATCCCATCACCTTTTGGATATATTTCAAATACCTAGCAAATACCGAGTAAGCTACTAAAATATCTAAATATTAAAAATAACTCATCAAAATAAATATCTACACTATAATATATGGCTACATGCAAGAGATACAAAACTAAAAATTTTATTAGTCGTGACTGTACAAAAATCATAATAGCAAAATTCATATAGCCTCATATCTCATCATTAACTGCTAGTCTACAATCTCTTTTTCCTTCCCAGATCCTGAAAACTAGAAGCAAAATGACAGTGAGATACAACAGCTCACCAAGTCACACAAATCAATCTAAATATTCAAATATTTTGTTGCATCCTTAAAAGCAGTTAAATGTAGTTTAATATAAATTACTATACCAAAAACTATAATTAATACATAACAGTTATTCCTTGATTTAAATAACAATATTGAACAAATAAATAAATTGAAATTCGCATCACAAAGCAGTTCATATCACATTTCCCGGCCAGACAGAACCTTAAAAGATTCTGACCCCTTATAACTCCCTTTTTATTTGTGCTTATAGCACTAAAATATATCACATATCCCTATCTCAGACAGAATCTTAAATGATTCTAGCCCCTTATAACTCCCATCAATTTCTTGACACAAATAGAATCTCAAAATATTTTGGCCACTTATAGCTCTTAACATATATAATTTAATCACATA